GCAGTATCATAGTAAGAGTCTCAGTAAATCACCGACAAATGTCCTGCCACGGGTCATGCGACTCTCCCCTAAGAAAAATCTTGTCGCCGCGAATGTTCCTGCGCGGATTCGGAATGACGAATGTGAGTATTCGCACGGTCGCGCGCGGAACAAAGCGACCGGGGAAAACGTCGGAGAATTATTTGTGCGGCGGGCACTCGCGCAGAAATCAATGGAGACGGGAGGAGAGAGAGAGAGAGAAAGAGAGGAAGAGCGCGAGAGAGATTTATGAGGTGGGACGCGATGAGGCAGAACAACTAAGGAGGAACGACCGCGAGCCTGCGTTCAGTAACAACGCGAGAAAGATAACGCGTCGCGAACGCTTATCGCCGCGTCGACGATATAACGTCCGATAAACTATCGCGGTTTAATAATCTGGAGGATGCGATCGCGCTGAATCGACGGCGGAAGCGATCGCGAGAAAAAAATGATATACGGCTACGTTCGGCACAGAAACGCTGATCGTGAGTCAAACCTGTAAGTTAGCGAATAATCGATACATGTCAGGAGTCAGGATGCGCAATCGGAATTATCCTCTCATCACGATCATATAAAATATATTTATAAACTCTATAAGAAACTATAAAGGAAATATAAATTATATGAATCATATAGAGAACTTCTTTTTATAAGAAAACTTTATATAACATAAGAATATAAATTATAGAAAATCTAGCAAAACCGATTCTTTATAAATAAAGACATTTTTATCTATTAATTTACACTTTGTTATGCAAATCTTAAAAGAATAGATTTTTCTTTCGATTATAAAAAATTTATATTTTTTCAATTGAAATTAAAAAATTGGCAAATATTATAATAAGATCATGTATATAATCGTGATTTGCAAAGTTCCAACTTAAAGCTTTCGTAAAATATCCATGTGCTTGAGCTTGCATTTTAATGTGAAATATATTGTAATTACGAACGTCATGGTTTCGCGCTTCGTCGTCTATCGACCCTTGAAAATGCAGTTTCTCCCGTACTCGCGGAGTGCTAACTTTAATTAAGTGCTGATAAGCGAAAATGCGGAAAATTTATTTCGGATCTAAAGAGAAATATTAGAGTACCGTTACGCTCGGAATTTCGCAAATATTTAGGTGCTGCCCAATTTATAATTAATTGCAAACACATAATAACAGATTTATTGTCGATATGGGTAATACTTAGTAATTTTCGCATTAACGATAACTGATATTATCAGGAATTCCACTACAGAGTGTATTGCCATGTAATAATATTCCGTTTGTGCATTAATGTATCCTTTTTCATGAAAATTGTAAATGAAATTTATCTCAATTAATGGGGATCGTAATATTATCTTGTTATATTTTTATTTATGCGGATTTGTACATATCTCTGGTAAGATTATCTTAATATTAATTAATATTTTGAAAAGTAAATTTTGAACAGAGAATAATTGTATGGATATTTGATAATTGAAAAGAGAGAGAGAGAGAGAGAGAGAGAGAGAGAGAGAGACAAGAGTCAGAGAAATTAGAAATGTATTTCAAATACAATTTTTTTTATCAAATTATACACTCGCGATGTTTTTTCAGTGGCAGGTTTAATTATCTATTTGTTTAATTTCCAAGGGACCATTAAAGTAATTATCGCGGGCCGATAATATTCACCCGACGCTCATTCATTTTATACAGTTAATTAGTGCGGTAATTACATTAGGTATATGCGCACATGTATTAAAGTTGAAACAGTGCTGCCAACTAAACAGAGATCTATATTTATTTATAATCATGTAAAACGATTAGACTGAAGAATGATTGATTGTGTGGCTACATTAATTATCTTTTTACTCTTTCGATAATCCATAAATATACGAAATAAAATTACATTTACATAGATATATTAACGTTCTACGTGAAATCTAATTACATGACATGAGAATATGCTAATGTATCGTGCAATAATTTATTCGCATAACTTTATTTGAAAGTAAATTGCCTAGTTATATACAGTTTATTTTGTATGTTGAAATAATAGAAAATATAAATAAGAAATAATTGTATTCCATAAAAAATATTGCATTAATAAGAAATAATTTTTAAGAATACTTAACAATTTTTAGTCAAAAGACATAAATCTCTATGTATATCTATTTTATAGGTATGCTGCTTTTTTAGAATCAACACGTTTACCCTATACGACTTTTCCTACATTTATCATTTAATTGCAAAAATTATGGCTTTTTCTTGCTTTTTACGCTTGTATCTACGTCAATATCTTGTACGTTATAAGATTACGTATCCACTTCTCTTTCTTCGCGATCGAGGAACGTATCTTTCTCAACATATACAATTATTCAAGTTTTCAGATAGCTTGACTTAACTAATTTTATTCCAAATAGAAAGTATATAATGTATAAAAATGTGAATTTTTCACGAGTCTTATTTCTCTCCAGATTAGAGATTATAAATTAGAGAAGAGGCGCGTCCGTATAGAGATTTGTGGACGCTAAAAGTAAAAAGATTAAACTAGTGACGCACAGCGCGAAGGGAATAATTAACCAATCGTCCGTCACGTCGGTCGGACATTTTTTTATCTGACCGCGGCGAATTACGTTACTCGATGCCGCATTAATTAGCCGCATCGCGGCGACGGTGCGACGTGATTGCGCATGTCGAATCCGCGCGCGTTTCACCGACAGATGGAAAATCTATCCCAATCGCGAATGCCCCGCGAGAGAGAACTCGCCCTTGTAAAATGTAAATTTTATCCCGCGATTAACTCGATTAATCCACCGCCGGCCTACAATCTCGGTAGCGTTGTTTTCGCGCATCCGAGATTATGCATCGTCTCGATGTATGAGGGGGATACGGACAGGGATGGGGGTGCATTTGTGGATTTCTCTCGTCTCTCCGAGCCTGTTAAAGCAGGGGTTCTCAAAACGTTACGTAGACATTTTAGACTCGCGCAATACGTCGAGTAATACGCGTTGGTTCTCTTTGAAGAAAACAGGTGTAAAAGTTTGAAACTCTTTTGGCTGAAAAAGAAGACTGATGATCCTATGAGAGAAGATAAAAGAGCCTCTTTGTAGAATGATATATAAGAGAGCAGGATATATCCGGCAGATATGCGGCCATACTGTTAACGATATGTTCTCTCGCTCGTTATAATCTTTTTCCGTGGTTTTTCGATAAAATATTCCCTTCGTACGCGCCGTTTTTCCTTCGCTCGAAGTATCCTCCATCTTCAATCGCGAATAACTCCGTCGTCGTTGAAACTCAATGCGGCTCGGCTCACCCGTTACTTCGCGAAGCTCAGTCTTCGAATGGGTTGAAGAGTTGGCTGAAGAAAGGTGTGGGGGAAGATAAAGAGAGAGAGAGAGAGAGAGAGAGGTCTCGAATCCTCTCTGAACAATTGAACGATTATCGGGAGATTTGCTGCCGTTCAGACGCGATTTCGAAAGATGGCCGCATGTCTACCCTGTCTTGTGAATTATTCAATAGTTGGAAAACGAAATTTGTATCTTCCCTTTTCATTCCCCTGCTTCTCTCTCCTTGTATAATTTTCTTTTACTTACAAACGACGTTACAATGTTACTGTTTATTCTGGTCTGGTAAAACAGCGCCAGAAACGAATTATCGATTCAAGTTGATAGGAAAAAGCGAGGGTACACGTTGCTCTCTTGACAGTTTTAATTAAATCGGTGCTGTTATCGAAACGCAAAACGTTTTCTAGATATTGTTTGCATAATATCATTTTGTAATAGCATTTTTGCTTTGAGTACAGATTTATCCGAGTTTATAATTACCTGAAACTGCAATGACCCGATGCGATGGAAATAGTACTCGGAATGTTTTCTCGAAATTTGACGCGATGTCGCGTGTTAAATGTCCGTAGTTTCACATATCGAATCGGTATGTCATTTATATCGAACCATTTATATCGAACAAGACGAAACGTATTTATTTTCACAACTAAACGCACACGATGCGATTAGACGTTCGAACTCGAACAACAAAGTTTGCAATAAATGCCGATTTAATTGTTGCTGAAAAAAACAATTTTATTGCGTAAATTTTAAAATTTGTCATTTTTCTGTAAACAAAATCAACGGATAGAAAGAGTACGTTGTAGTTTCTGCGATGCCTCGCCACGCGATATGCCTCCGTAGGAATTTGATAGCATCAATAGCGAAAACCTTTCAAACGGAAATCAGTAAAATGGGATGATGCTACCTGCTTGCGTTCGCGTTTGGAATTTCTGTGTCGCTCTGGCTTTCCGATTACCAATAACCGGTAAATTCCGGTTATTGGTCTGCCCAAACGCCGTATTACACGTACCAAAAAATCGTCGGAAGCGTTATAAAATAGCAGAGTTTATGAGATTGTATAGAAACGGAGGGGAAGAGAGGAAGGGGCGAACAAAACCGACGCGGCGTCGGATCCGCGCGGAGTCTCCGTCATCTCTTTTCACTGGTTATTACCCGATAAACTCCGATAAGTTTCAAGATCGATTCTCGAACGTCAGTTCGCGCTCTCATGACGACGGATAATTTTTCTTTCTTTCGCGAGCCTTCAACTCGCGAGTCTTTTTAACTGAGTTTTACGTCAATAGGATACCTCCGACCTGTCACGAATATAGAAAGGATAGCAAGAAAATTTTGCCCTGGTTCGAGAATAACTATACAATATAATATCTATAGAATAATTATTGGACATTGGAAATACACTAGAATAATTTGAATATTGTAGTGACAAGTAAAACTCTGTGTATCTTTTATCGGAATATTAATATCTTTATCTTATAAATAACTCGTAGCACAATTAGAATATCAAAATTGTATATTGCCATGTGTTTTCCCATGAAAAAAATCTTTTAAAATTTTTTATACGATAATGATACATTGCAAGATTATTTTTGCATAACATTAAAAAGAACAAGATATGTATTTTTTACAATAGAATAATATTATTCGAACCATTCTTTGAGAGATCTTATATCCAATCTACATACATACTTTCTACGTGTTTTACGTAGCGCTTTGAATAATATCGCCGGTTATTTATATTTTAAAATCGTTCTTACTGCAAAGAAAAGCGACTTTGTTGAAGACTAGGAAATCTCAGTCCTCAAATAAAAATAGGGACACCGGAAGCCGCACTTTCTACTGCACACGCGAGCGATGCCGAATCCGGGTAAACAGACGAGCACTTGGCCCGTACTTTTGTTGTCGCTAGGGACGATCTCGTATAGAATATGCAAGAGCCCGCGCCCGCTGCATCGTTTCCAAGTTTTTATCTCCGCGCCGACTTGTAATTCCATTTCGAAGTTTGCGGGTGGCGGAAAGTTTCGAGTAATATTCGTCGTCTCGCTCGATGATGACATTAGAGCTGCTGGCTGCGCGAGATGCACTCGCGTATGTAATAAACTTATATTAAGCCGCGCGAGGATATTCGATCTGGATACATCGTCTGGTAATATTTGACCTATTCGTATAAAATATGAAAATAAATTATACATACAATATTCACACAATCGACATTTGACATCAATAATTTCTAATTTCACATGTTAAAATTATTCGTCGACATTTGAAAGCGACGGATATATGCAATGATATATGTAATGTACGGCGCTTACGATCGTACGTTAACGATCGCCACGTATCCAAAATATGTCGCGTATATTTAAGCATCGCCGTAATTTGCGAGCAGAGTCCAGTGGTGTGCTGTCAAGCATTTCTTGAACAGCAAACGGGCGAGTTGCGCTTTAGCGTCGTATTATACATATACCAGAGACGATACGAGGTCGAGGAGGTCTTGCATAGCGCGCGTAAGATGCATCGAGAGAGCAAAGGGGAGAACGACAGGATGCGCATTTATGGCGATACCGAGCGCGTTTCTTTGTTAAAACGCTCCCCGGACGCGGGTCGTAACAGTTGCCGGAGAAATTGCTGCTCCCGTGAATTACCGATCGATAGGGTTTATCATATCGAGCCGCGCGTCTCTCGGCAGGAATTTCGACGTATCATTGTCTCGCGCGCGAGCAACATGGCGTCGTCTCATCTCCCGCAAGAGGAGAGCGCATCGGGCCACTTCGCGCATCGTTAAGTTTTATCGTAACGCAAAGTGAACTCGCAAACGCGCGTTCCGGCCGCAGTTTCCGGCTAGACAGTTACGACGAGATAGTTTGCATAAAAGTAAACTTGTTGTCTGCGAGCGCGTTTCTCATTTGGAAATTAATCCGACGTACGGGATGTTAGCGAATAGTTTCGGCAAACTTTATCGATAAAACTTTCAGACCAATTTCGGAGTCAATAATTTCAGAGTAAAAATCTCATTTATAATAATATTTTTTACTCTTATTATATAATATTATTGAATATCTGTATGTTAAATTTCCTACTAAAATTAATTGCAATAAAATTTATGTCAAAATAAAATAAAAAGCAAATAAAAAATAAATAGCAATCAGAATTTTTATGAATTAAAAGACACGGCGAATTCCTGAAATATTTTTGTTTAATAATTATATTCTTCTACAATTTAAAAAAATTGCAGTTATATGTGTGTTTTTACTTTGCGTTCTCTGATAAAATATACAATTTATTAAAACTGCATTCTTTTCTTGTTTATAATCTACATGCATATAAACTACTGATCGAAATGTCAGAGCTTCGAAATTATTAGTTTAATATAGCTTATGAAGTAGACCATATTTATAATAATATGCGAACTAATTGTATACGAATTTTTAATTAAACAGATGCCATTCATTTTGAATTTTGACTGCAGTTAGCGTGGATAAATTGTTACCTCAAACCACACAGATATAATTCGATACACATAATAATCGATTTTGAAATGAGATTTGGAAACAAGAGATGAATAGCAGCTGCAATTAATCGTATTAACAAAGATTTAATAAATTAATTTAATTAACGAGTATAAGATATCAATAAAATGAATTTGCGAGGTAAAAGCTGAATAAATTCCGATATATTCCTTGCAGAATTTATTTACAATTTTAATTGATGGGAGTAACGTGCCGTACTCCCAATGATAATTACCGACAATAATTCCACGATTTCTTCCAGCAGAATTAATACCCAACTAGAGAGACATATTGCACAACCTGACGGTATTTTCATCGTTTCCAGACATTTGTTTTCGAAACACATTCACGATTAGTTTCGCGATATTGACCGGTCGTATCGTAGTTGGATCGTTGTCGTCTTTAGATTTTTACGGAAATTCGAAGGTTAACGATGAGAGACCATTCTTAATTTTCCGGTTGAAAGATTTCGCCTCAGAATAGCGCGAGCGGCGGAGCTTTAATTTCACCGAGTGAATCTGAATGCCGCTTTGTCCCACCGCTCGCGGTGAAAGCGCGATGGTGACGGCAATGACGACGACGAAAAGGGTGGAAACGCGACGGAAGAGAAGAGAATGCCGATGGGGAGGAGGGTAGGGAGAGAAAAGTCGCGCTTCAGCGCGAAAGGTTCGGCGAAACAGCGCGTGTTCGGGCGAAAGCACTCTTCGGGAGACTTTTATGGCAGAACGACGACGACGATGATGACGATGCGGGATGGAAAGGAAGGGAGGGTAATGTTAAATGGAAATGACAATAATGGGACGTGGAAATTCGCGTTCGGAACGTAGTTCGCGAAACCGCATCGGTTTTCGTTGGCGGACAGGCTGTTTAATTGTTTCTCCGTTCGCCCGTTCGTCCATTTAATCGAGACGAGAAGGATTCGACCTGCTGCGCGATTTCAACGGTCGTTAAACATTTACAGCGGTATTTACAAAAAAGACATGCACATTTGAGATTAATTCCGATTTATTTGTATCTCAAGAGAAAAGTCTAATATAAAATATTGTAGGAGATTTCATTACTGGATGATTTTTATATTAAAAAGCTGTAATATATTTTCTAGTTTTAACTTTATTTTCTGCTCTGTATATATGTCTACGAATATTACCAAATAGTAATACTATCAAAAATAAAAACTTTTGTCGAGACTTCTCTCAGCAATTAATATCTTCTATGTATGTTTCTGCATTTACGAACACTTTGTCCATTATGTCACACATACGTGTCATGAATAATTCGGTCTCTTTCCTTGTCTCTCATAATACTCTAGCAAACTGTTTGGTCCGCCCAAAAATAAAGCGTAGAAAAACATGGAATTCATTTATCCATTTTATCGTTGATGAGAAACACTCCTGAGAAGACAATTAAAACTCCTCGTTCCCTAGAGACGCGGTCGGATCTCAGGACGCCACGGAAGCGGCGGAAAAAATAGAAGGTGACGACGCATTGTTTTCATCCTGTGTGTCTTTTTCTGATCTATCTCGACCGGCATTCTTAAATTATCGCCTCGCTAATCTTTCGCTTTGTGTTAATTCCGCGATCGCGAGATTTTTTTGCCACTTATTCCCGGCGTTTCGCAATGCACGATAATTTTTCATGATGTGAGCGTAAGTTAAATGCGAGTCACGGTGATGTGTATGGCAATGTAGTACAAGAATGCGACAAGGGCTGTTTAAGCCGACGAAGATTGCATTTTTATTCAGTGTGGTGAATTTCTCGTTACGGCATCGCAGCTATTAACAAGAATTGAATGAAAATGGGATCACGAGAACGCGGAAAATAGTCGCGCGCTAATTGTGAATTTCAACAAAGTACTGAAAAATTACGTGATCGACTTTCGGGATTATCTGCGTGAATTAGAGAAATCACAAAATGTTTCTATTAAGCTACGAATTCTTATTCTTTATTAAATTCCATGCTGATATTATTAAATAATAAAATTTTAATATAATTCTTTATTGTGTGTGTTTAAGATATCTAACATCAGAAATTAGAAAGATGTAAAGAAAGATAGCACTCGATCACGTGTTTTCGCTAAGAAAAGATTAATTTTGTAATCGAGCAAGTCATAGACGAAATTTATAATTTTTGCACCCTGTAAAGTAGATGTATGTTTTCGTATAATGATTGTAAGATATTGTAAGTAAGGCGTAATTAGGATGCTTATAGATATGTGAAACATTTAATTTATTGTGAAGGAAATTGTATCAATACTTTTTTGAAAAAGGCTGCTTACATATATGATATATGTATAATCGTCAGTAGTAGAAGGCTATATGTGGTCAGACGCTTTCTTTTCTTTGGCAGTTATATTTAAACAGCAATGATTTTATTATTTCTTTTACAATATGTAATAAAATTGATTATTTACGATTTAACTTTCTTTTTTTTTTATAAAATGGCATGCACAAATTTGTTTAAAAAGGTATGAAAATTATACTATTTCCAGTTTGATATTGCCGGCTAGACACAGTTTAATATTCTATAAGCTATAATACTTTAGAAGCAGCCAATGAGCCGATCGAGATCGAAACCGCACTAAAACCACAATTCTAAATTAATTTTGCATACAATTTAATAATAAATACTGATCGTCATTTAATCGATAAACCAAATATATATTTGATATTTGACGCTTTAGGGAATCCACATATGAATTTTACTTTATGTCATTTCCAAACTTCTGAATACGCGTTATTGATGTGATACATGAAGCTACATGCAAAATGTTTGCAAATTAACCTTGTTTTTGTAAACTTTCTCGTTTGAAATACGATCAAACAGAATTTTGAAACACAAGATCAAAATTGATCCTTGGCAACATTTCAAAAACCTGACACAATCTTAATCACATTAATAGCAGTAACATTAATTTTCTTATTAACTATTCAAATATTAAAATCTTTGTCAATTGATTTAATTTCAAGAATATTTTATTGTCATTTATACGATTGCCCTATTTTATTTATATTTTTATCCATAAATATTGAAGTACAAAGATTTTATTAAAATACGATCTTATAATTTTAATTTTATCTTTCATAAGAAAGAGGTGCTTCGTTATTAAAATATTTAATATTATTTAATTATATTAATTAATTATATAAAAAAATCATTGTTTATACAGGGTGTCATAAAATTCAAAGCAACTAATATAAATAGTCACTGAAAAATTTCCCGGATTGTAATTGTCTATAATTAAAGAATCAGGAACGATTAGTAGAAAAAATGTTTAGAGGCTCTCAAAGAGACGTTTTTATAACCCTTTTATCTTTTAGAACGACCTGTAGATAACCGTCCTCTGTCAGATATCGCCCGCATGGCCGTTAGTCTCTTAAAACGTCGAAGTTGCGGCTTCCTCCGGGTAATGCCGGCATTAGCAACTTTTGGCCGGGCTTCGCGGGAAATTGCGAAAGTAATAAAGCGAGCGAGGTATAAAAGCGGCGGCAAAGGCCGGGAGGGGAAAGGGGAGAGGACGGCCATATTAATCGGACTGTCGGCATTTCGGGACGAAGGAACGCGATAGGAAGCACGCGATCACACAGGAGCTGCCTTGTCGCAGCGGTATCCTGTCTGTCTCCTGTCATTTTATCGCCGCGCGGCGGACTCGCGT